AATCTCATCAGTAATTAATTTTTACCACTACTAAGTGCGCTAAATCCTTGCAGGAGTGGCAAAAAGGCATTTGTGCAGGTTCTCAAGCTGTCCTATTCACATCTCACAGCCAGTTTAGTGGGAAATGGTGGATTCAAGTGTTTGGCTCCCAATCACAGATGGAGCAGAGGAGCAATTTCTCTCACATTTCTGTGTTCCATTTGTGTTCACCTTCCACTAGAGAGAGCAGGAGTCTTTTATGTCCACTATAATGGAAATGAGGTGTCCAGCCATGGTCTAAACCTTTAAAATCCAAGGGAAGGGGCCAGTGAGCTGGGGCAAGGTTCTCATGAGCATTTGGACTATGTGATCCTGTTGCAGTCTTCTTGAATACCATTTATTGTCTTTGGTGACTACTGGCTGATTTAGCTCACTTTTGTCATCACCATCTAATTGTTTTTAGAACAGTAAAAGTATTGTGTATGTGTAAATATGTGTCAAGATAAAATTCCAGAGTAATAGACTATAATCTGAATAGAACTTACTTTGAATTGATTTAAAGGGTTTTATTAAACACTAAATATAACTATTTCATTGGTCCCCTTTAATACTTACGAGGGAAGAATCAGCTCATTCCCTCTAATGAAACTGTGCTGAGTGCCATATTTACTTTAATAATTCTATATGGTTTCAAAATGCTGCTGCATTCTGCTGCTGTCAACTGCCTCCCTTTTCAAAGAATATACATGGGACTGCTTGTATTTTAAATATTGTGTTTTGTTCCCGACTTGTGCCCAGTTAGGGAGGTCCTTATAATATGATTATGCCTTTTCTATTTCTCTGACTGATTTTTGGGGTTGGGATTTTTTTTGGTTGGCTTTGTTGGAGATTTTTTTATCTCATTTTTTTTTCCAGCCTTTGCATAGTTAGCAGTATTGCTGTTTCAAGGGTGCCAGAATTAAAACTCTGGTCCAGAAAAGATTATATAAGGGAAAAACAGGACTTATAAACAGCTGAAAAAATTTAAATTGTCATACTTTACTTTCTGTCTTTTTATTTATTTAGATCTTCTATAGTATGTGTGGGTCACATTTTCCTACAGTTCTCTAATACTAAGGAGACTAAGAATTATGGTTTATGAATTTTAATGAAAGTTGAAATCCTTATGTAATCATTTGCTGGGGCTTTAATTAAATAACCATATAGGAGAAGATCTGCATTTAGAGAGGCGAGGGCTGGAGATGCTAATTTTTAAACAGCTTTGTTCTACTTCAATATGGGTATCTCAGATATCTAATGCAGACAGTCCTTTATACCATTCCTTACTCATTTGGAGGTATTGTTGCAGTAGTGAACATAAAGTTTTAAAACCACAAGCCAAGAAGCTTCATGGTATTCATAGCAGAAACTTAAAGCACAGGCCACCACCCTCCATCTTCAAAAGGAGATGACCCCTTCTCCTTTTCTGTCTGTGACTGGGATTTTGGTATTGGGGTATTTTCCATTCCTGCCTCCCCTTTCACTGACAGTCCTCATCCTCAGCTGGAATGGGGGAGTGTTTTCCCTGGAGACCTGTAAGTCAGATGTTAGGGTAGAACCAACCAGTTGGTTTTAGCGAAGCCCGTGTTTTTGTGCATTCCTGAAGATTCAAGAGTCATTCTTGTTGCTAAAAGCTGCTTTCATCTGTGGGTATTAAAACTGTCAGAGATAGGTTTCCAGGACAGTTTCAGATGAAATGTAAAGTAGCTCCTTTTCTTCTAAGAGACACTGCATGCATATAAGCTGTGTGGGAGTTTGATTTTGGTTTTATTCCTCCTTTTCTGCTGCTGATACACTTAGCTTTAGTTGCCTGGTCAGTAAGAATAATAAATTGATGTTCTGAGACTGTTTATCATCACTCTGGACCAAATTGATTCCAGAGAACTTTCAGAGGAAGTGGTGGGGTCTAGAGCAAACCCATCTGTTACTGATAAACATAAATCCCCCCACTTCCAAATGCATTTTTATGTCAGTATCTCTGTTTGCATGCATGCACCAATTAAACAGTATATTATTTTCTTTTTCCATGATTTCAGAAGGTTGACTCACTCAAGTGGATTTATGCACACACTCTGTTTTTTTCTGAGTGTAGTTGGTTTGTTGTTTGGTTCTGGGTTTTTTTTTAATTTTTGTGGGGGTTTGTTTGTTTGTTTTTGGGCTTTGTTTTTGCTTTTAAGTCTGTTTTCTCTGTCTCTTGATTTCTATTCAGCTGGTGGAAATCGTGATTTCTACCTAGCCCAATAGTTCAGACATACTTTCTTTCTTCCTTTTCTGGGTATCATGCTCCAGCACTTACTGTTTGTTCATGAAAAGAAAATCAGGTTCAGAAGTAATTGAGCAGAGTGTGGCTTGTTGATCTAAAGAGCATCACAGAGGCAATCATCCTTCTGTAGAAAGCTGGCCTGGAAGAGATTTTTGTTACAACCTCTGGGGTTTTCTTCTGTCTCTCTTAAAGCTTGAGGCCTTTTTGTGTGGTATCCATGTCATTTTTCATTCCTTCACTCCTGTGTTAATAGGGACCATCATATGCCAAGAACATTCTAGCATGAGATGAGCACGGTTTTTTAGATAACAAGAGAGAAATGCGTTTTAAAGCCAAGTAAGATTTTATAAAAATGAGAGGAAAAGGTTGGCTTCGTAGGTTGTGGATTTGACTATAATGCTTGAAAACAGCCTCACTGTTTTAGCTGGTGACAGTCACAGCCCATGTCACCCAGCAGAACATCTTGGCACAGTGAGAGAGAGCAGTGGTGTGGACATTGTTTTGTGCAGGGGACAACAGATCTATCAGCAAAAAAAACGAGTATGGCTGATTCCACCAAGGCACCTTCATAGAGAAATTAAATTGGACAAGGGATGTGTAATTTGCTATAAGGAGTTTGCTCATAAAATGGTGACAAGATAAGGAAGGGGTCACTCTGTGGGTTCCAATGAATTTGTGACTGCTTCACTGGTGACTTTGGCTTCTCTTCTGTAAGTGATGTTGACAGACACTGGGAAATGGAGCAAGGATGAGTTGTTACAGCCTTTGGACTCACTTTTCACTGTAGCATTAGCTGCTGCTGCAACATCCAGTCTGTGGAGCCTTGCAGGACTGCCCACACTGGTGGAGGGGCAGGATTAGTGAGGGGGAAACAAAAGCTACCTGCAAGCTGGGAAGGAGGAGGAGTGGTGGAGCAGAGCAGGAGTTGGCTGAAAACTCACTGTGGAGATGTGAAGCGCCAGGAAAGAACAGGAATCAGGATGAGCAAACCTAGAGGTGAATGAATATTTAAGAGGACTTGATTTAGGTGTAAGGATTAGTGGTGATCACAAGTAACTGCCTTGGCTCTCATCAGTCTGGTTTCCTGGGACTGCCTGCACTGGGAGCATCCCTAGATATGGGAATAGTAATTCCAGGCCTGACTTGTGACTGCACCTCTCATTTCTGGTGGCAGTAATAAAGCAGCCTTTCACTTTTCAGTGGGCTGTGGATTCAGTGAGGGTAGGAGCATGAAAAACCTGGCATCTTATAAGATCCTGGGATCTTATGCTGCACTTGGGTTTCAAGGTGTGGTGTGTGCTGCCAAGTGTCCACAGAGCCTGGAGAACCACAGTGGGCACAGCCAGGTCTCTAACATTAATCCTTCCTTCTTACCTGTGAGGCTTACTTTTTTAACTCCACTGCTAGGAACCTGGAGGTGAAGATAGCCCTTATCATGATGGGAATCACAGGCAGCCAGACTCAAGCTGAATCAATTTTCTTTTAGCCAAGTAAATTAAGAAAGCAGGAGTTACTTCCTCCCAAGGCACAGGGGCTAAGAACTAAAACTGAAGAGGATTTTTTGGTGCAGAGAGGCAGGAGCCACACAGGAAGGACAGGTACGAGCACACAACCTTTGGTAGGTGCAAAACTGGTGTAGCTTTTGCACACCAGTTATTTACTGAGACCAGCTTTCATGAACATCAGAGCTGTGCTTCATGGAGAACAAATGGAGAGCAAATAGGGAAACCCAGCACAGCCAGTGTTTCCAGCAACAGTATATGGAAAATAGGAAAAAAATTACAGTAAAATGATGGAGCCAGTCACATGGCTGTATCAGGTAAAAAAAATGATGTGACTTTCCTGATTTTTGATGCCTGTCTGCATATGTGGTTTGTCTCCAGTTATGGAGGTAGATAGTTGTTAGCAGTAACTTAAAAAGAAGGGGCCCTTGGAAAAGAAAAGGATAGGTAGGAACAGTTAATGGAGACGATAAAAAAATCTCATCATAGGAGATGCATGTGGCTTTCCTGACTTTGCAAAGTAGTTTTAATCTCTTGTCCTGGGATGAGTGTTTTGAAAGCATGTTCTGCAATAAGTGTGAGCTGTAAATCTCCTTGCCTACCTCTGAGCTGGGAGAAGGCATTTCCTTTGGGAAAGAATGTTGGGAAAAATGAGCAAGAAAATGTTCATGACTGCAAGTCACATTACATGTCACATTAACCCTCCTGTCTTTCATTCACATATTTTTATATTTGCATTAAGCAATGCCTCTGTGTGTAGGGGCAAACAATGCCCAGAAGAAATCCCTGAGTAGATGTACAAAAAAAACCCCATAATTCAATGGTGAAATAGATTTAAAGCTGTTGCTAATTATCTTGGCTGATATAAAATATACATTGCTGATTAATCAAATGTTCCCTGGTTTTGGTAATCTCCTTGTTGATGTAACAGCTGTCCTTTTGTCAGATCAGTGTTAAACACTTGGCTAAATCCATGGCAGTGGGAATTTTATTGGCAGGAGCAGAGTTGTGATGCCAGATGTGTTTGGGTTCTGAATGTAAAGGTACAATGTTGTCTGGCTTTATTATGAAGCTAAAAGCTGTGTGAAATAAATCATGAAAGATAACCTGTTTATTAAAAAAAAAATAAATGTGTAATGGATACAAAAGCACGAGTGTTTCAATTAAAACTAATGAGTGCAATTTATGACTAACTTCTGCTTTTCTTTGTTTTTCAGCTCATGGGGCATTGTGAATGGGATCACAAACGAGGACCCAGAGGCTCACAGGTCAGCTGCTCGGTATTTTGTGTTTGATTTTGGCTTTTGCTGCATTTGAAGCATTCCTCAAGCAAATTTTCCACCCGAGTTTGACAAAGTTGTTAATTTTGTTAATATTTGCAGGTTTTGGAGCAATGGAAAAACCATAAAGCCATGACAGCTTTCATTAATATAATTTTTGATCTGTAATTCAAACAGTTGATCCAGACAGAGCTGAGTCATCCAACAGAAAGGGTTTTTTCAGTAGCAGAAAGATGGATTAGATGTATGGAGAAAGCATTTCTTACTCAGCTATCTCCCTCAGGACATCAAAGGAATGTAATTTCAAATAATGTTTGTTTTGTTTGGTGTTTTGTTTGGTTTCACTTTAACCTGACAAACTTGTAAAGCTTGGATGGCTCTCTCACTGTGAATCCTTTCATTACTGACCAAGGTGTTAGAACTGTGTGGGGAGGTGCAGAGAAGCCATGTGCAGCCACTGGTTTGCTCTTGACCTGTCAATGGAAGGAAATTATGCCAACAGTGTTAATTGTTAATACATGTAAATAAAATTATTAAACATTAAATAACATTAACAATAAATGTTAATACATTTCAAAATTGTCTACAGAATTACAATTGCTGCAAACGAGACATCACTACCAATATTGATGTTCAGGAATTCCCCTGCTTGGGTGTAAAATCTAGTATTGAAAGAGCACAAATACATTATTAGAGCTCCAGCATTTTGTACTTGCTTTCACTTCAGGTGAAGGATTTCCATATGGATATACTGTACAAATGACAGTCATGATGTGTCATAAAAGCATTAAAGGATCTATAATAAGGTGGGAAAACTGTAGAATTATAGAAGAAGCTTGGGTTGCAAGGGACCTTAAAGATTATCTCATTCCAACACCCTGCCATGGGCAGGGACACCCTCACTGCTCAGAGCCACATCCTGGCCTTGAACATTTCCAGGGATGGGGCAGCCACAGCTTCTCTGGGCAGCCTGTGCCAGGGCCTGCCCACCCTCACAGAAAATAATTTCTTCCTAACATTTATTCTAAACACACTCTCTGGCAGTTTGAAGATATTTCCCCTTGTTCTCTCACACGGTTCCTGATGAAGAGTCCCAAAATGACCCAAACTTTCTGATTACCCTGTGCTATGAGTGCCCAGACACAAAAACCAGGGAAGAAAAGGAAGTTTCATTAGAGAGAAGAAAATATGCCTCAGTTATTCCACTGTAGCTTTAGATTCTCTCTTTTACATTACTCTGAAAATTGTCTCGACAGGAATAGTGTTAAACCTAATTTAATTAAGTTCCTTGAAAGGTTAGGAGAAATGAAGGAGGTTCTGATTTTTGCATGTGATAGAAAATACTTTTTTATCCTTTTTGTGATTCATTGTTGCCAGTGTGTGTCTTTTAAAAAACGCACCCCTGGTAAAAAACAAGATCTGTCTGAAAAATTAAGGTGAGTGATGTGTTAGGTATACTTAAATACCTTAACACCTAGAAAGAAAAAAAAATTGAAGCAGAATCACTGGTTTACCATGATGTAAAATTATAATCCACATATAAAGTTATTCTATCAAGACTCATTAAAAGAGCTCTGATTCAGTGCAAGGTGTTGGTTTTTTTTTAAGAGCAAGTAGGTTTTCTATGGCATGTGTTGAAACATGAGGGGAAGCTGCTACAGTGCATGTCATACTTCTTAATGGCCCACTTGGAAAACACGTTCCTTTTCTGCACGTAGGAGTTAAATGCAAAGTGCTGTAGTTACAGGTAGGGATGGATGTCAAATGAAATCCACTGAGGCCCGATGGGAATTTCTGTTTGCAGTAGTTTGTCTCGTGATAAGCATCTGCAATTCAATAGAATGGAAATGGCAGGAGTAAAAAGCCGACTTTACAATGTTTAACTTGCTCATGGCTTCTACCATGACCATCCTTGCACTCCCCTTTTAAGGGACTGCCCACATATATGTGTATGTATGTTGTAGGATTCCTTTTCTTTTGGAATAATTATACTATTAAGGCTGCTCTAATTAGATTGAATTATAGGTTGCCTTACAAAGAGCAGTGAGTTCCTGGCTACATACTTGCTCTTTTTTCTTCCCCCCTATTCTTTTTTCATCCCTGAAGACAGCACTGCCTCCTGTAAGTGCTTCATGCTGAGAATTTACTCTATGGATTTGAAATGAAGCAGGAAGTGCAAAGTGGATTTCATTGCATTTCATGCTTAATTTTAAAGATTAATACATGTTAGAATTAAGAATTCAGGCATGAAACTTCAAAATTGAGTTCCAAATTAAAGAAATTCCTAAGTGTTTAGGAATATTTAATCCTAAAGAAACCTAAACCTAAAGAAATCTCTCTCTTTCAAATATATACATGCAGTCTGTAGAACCACATCATGTGAGGGGAAAATATCCATACCCATTTTTCAGTGTTGGCACATGCCACAAGAAAGTGTGACTAGCAGAATTCATCTTCGGGATATTATTGCTCTGCAGAAAAAAATATGCAAATTTTGTGTTTTAATCATTCTACTAGAACACAATACCTGATACTTCCAAGATCTTTCAGGTGGGACCCGCGGCACACTTTTTGCACACGTTTTTATGAGGGCTTTTGGATGTGTGGGAGTAATTTGTTGCTTTGTCATCAAGACTTGTTTCGCTTGCTGGAGATGTAGGCGTAGCCCCAGAGTCAGTGGAATCGAGCAATCCTTCCTCCAGCGCTGTAAAAGAATGATGATGGAGAGAGAAACACAGGTCCAGCCTTTTTAATTTCTCTTTAACTATAAAAGCTCTCAATTATATATCCGAGGTGCTGCGTTTTACCCCTCTAGTTCCTAAGCAACAGCTATTTTCAGATTGAGTGCGTCTGGTGTTGTCTACCTACTTCAGGCTTCTTTCTGGGAGGTAGCTCGTCACTGGGAGCCAGGCTGTTCACTGCCTCAGCCTTTTGTTGTGGCACTGCAAGGACACAGATGCTTTAGAGGAGCAGGAGAAGCCGGGGTCTAACCCGTCTAACCTCGCAGCTCACAAAATCTTGTGTGCATCGGGGAGTTCTGCCATCTACGATGAAGAGCAGGAGTCAGAAATAAGGTTCTTGCCACTGGTTTGGGACAGAAGCCTTTCTCTCAAGTCTGGAAAAGCCTCTAGAGCAGATTCAGAGCCATGAGCCGGAAATCTCTGTACTTGCTGAAGCGTAGGTGGGAGTCGATTCCCGCTGCTGACCAGGTACTGTGCTCTGGGAACCTGTTGTGTCTTAGTCTGCCCTCAGTGCCACTGCAGAGAGACTTGCAGAGATTTAATGGGGGTGTAGGGGTTCTCTGAATACAGTGAGAACCAGCTGACCTTGATATGTGCTTTCCAAGATGAATGCTGCAAAACCTTGGTAAAGCTGATTTTGCAAGAGCATGTGCTTGTGAGCGTGGAGATGCCATGGCAGCCCAATAATGCAGATGCATTTAACCAATAAAGTCTCCCTGTCTCAAAAAGGAGACTTCTAAAGGCTTTTAGGAGTACTTTAAACTGAGTGGCTAAGGAAAATTGTAGTCTACTGTTGATGGGTTCCTTGGTGCATGGCTTTTTTGTGTTTCATATCTTACATGTATGTCTGTGTGTATGAAGTCACTGAGGCAGAACCTCAGCGTTTTCGGGGTCGCCTTGGTTGATGTGTCATTCCAAGTGTGTTAACCGAGATGAGAGTAAAGCAGATGTAAACAGAACATATGTAAACATCTGCTGGGAAAAGCAAATACTGTCACCAGAAGCAGGACTAAGATGTGATGAATGGCAGTGTGATTAGTGTATTTCCTACTTCTTGCTCCAGGCACTCCAAGATTCTCTGCTTTTTTTATTTTCTTTTTTTTTTTTCAATAACTTGCTTGGGATGTACAGCTAATAAAATAAATAATTACAGAAAGAATATTGGTGAGCTAACAGCTCCACTCTCTTCTCAGTCATAATTCTATCTCACTTTTCCATTTATAAAACATTTGACTATGAATGGTAGACTTTAATCATTTAATAGGAAAAAGACAATTGTTTTTCAGGATGGACAAAAGAAATACATCTCAGTTTTTGAGAAGCATCCTCCTGTGTATTTTTATTAAGAGGGAGAAGGGAAGGGCAGATTACACACCACATTTTATGGAGCTGTAGATTTTAAAGATAAATTATACCACTTGGAACTTTTAGAGATATCAGACATATCAGTTGTCAAAAAAAACCACCCCGTGCTCTCACATTATTATTCACAATAAAATAATAAGATATTGTTGATTAATACAATTTTATTGTACTGGAAAGGAATTTAATTGATCCAGATCAGTAGAGCATTCTTAAATTTCCTAGAAAAGAAAGGATAAAGAAATGCTCTGTTAGGAAGTGAGTAATTTGTCATGTTGTTTATGTTAAGAAGATGTAGAGACACTAATGTTATTTCGAAGGAAAGCTGGTTTTCAGCCTTTTCCAGCATTTCCTTTGAATCACTCTAACCCTAATGCTGCATTGCATCATACATCGTATTGTAACACAATATATGGGAAAAATAAGTGTTCCTCACCTTAGTGTGAGGTGAGCTTGGCTGCACTGAGCTATCAGTTCCACCTCACGTGCTCTGGAGAGTTTTAAAAGAGGAAAGGAAATTTCCCTGACCCATCTGCCACTCTGGGAGAGTGAGACTCAGAAAGTGATGCACATGAAAACAGTTAACATGAGCATAGTGTGAGTCTGTAAGGACTGACTGAAGGAAAATGCAGTTACTGTGCAAGATGAAATCCCCAAAGAGGCAACTTCCTGAGTGTTTCAGCTGATTCTGTTCACAAGTTATTGTATAAAAATAATACCTCTGCCTTTTGGTGCAAATTTCACTCTTTAGTCCTTAAAGGGATGGAGTTGATTAACTGAGTTCTAGGCTGACCTTGACAAAATTACTTTATATAGTAGTAACATTGTGAGCTACTTCTCTACTCAGAGCAGGTAAAATTTGTGTTAACAAATAAAAAAAAACCC